GCCCATAAGGATCATCTGTATCTGAAGCCTTTGTGGTGGCATTTGGATCCCATTTTCCCCAGGTTGTGAAGGACAGTGAGGGGACGAGAGAGATGAGCGACTCTGGTGGATTGGCGTATGTAGTCGTTGTTGTGGGAGACGGCACAGAAGTAGCGTATCTCACAGTCTCAGAGAGGGTATAAGAAAATGGTGTATATGTGTATTTCGGCTCATGTGTCTTTGTAGCCTTGCATTGAGGGCGCTCAGTAGGACCCTTTGCATCAAGATAGATCTGCTGGCCAACTGCCACAGACGCAAAGAGGAATTGTATCACAGCAGCGTATGAGGGTGTCATGACGGGCGACTGAGATACAGAACTAACGAGCAAAGCAGCCCGCGCGATCTCACGATATATATGCTCAAACTATCGCCTCTCACAACATCATGTTCCGTCCTTGCCGTCCCTTTGGGGGGCAAGAAAACACCGGACCTTAATGTGAGGTGCTAAAATAAACTCAGCAAAGGGTATCCTAAGTCTATACTAAACTTATCCTAAGCTTATACTAAGTTACCTGAGTATTATTGTCACTTATGACCAAGACTCTGAGTTTTCTTTCCTCCCCTAGCCGTCACCATCAATTCCGAGCCGAAAAGCACTGCAATTCCGCATGTTAGTCGATCCCCAGACTTTTCGGACCGATTCAAACCTGTTCTTTATAAGAAATCGCGGGGAAGTTGTGGGGATGTAACGGTCATGCTCTCTCTTTACAAAGGCACAGATACTCCGATTTGCACGGGAAATCGTACGTGCTCGCGGTACCGCCGTGTCGTTTGTGGGGTTGGAGCGGTGACGGCATCGTGCTATTTAGATTTCCCCGGACCAAGATTATGGTGCTGACCTTTGTCGATCTTTGCGGGTTATGGCCCAGGGATCCGGTTTACCCCAGAGTTACCGTCCAATGGAAGGATAGGATGAAAAGTTTATGAGGAGCCGATTGCGAGAGCCGTTTCTGTATTTCGCCGAAGTCGAGCGATTGACATGATGTTTCGGGGTTTCGGGGTATCTCGAGAGGGAGAGTGGTTAGGAAGCTAACCATGGGAAACCAGACCAAAGCTGTTAATCCCGTCCGTGATATCATTGATGGCGCACAGTTGAAGTATAGCTTATTCACCTGAGAAAGAGATGAATCCATCACAGACTCTCGAACAGTCTATTAATTGTCCTTCCTCGCGGCTCTTCATCTCTAATGCAGCTTTATGGTGCGTACTTTGCCATCGTCTCGGCGCAACTGAGAAGGCAGCATCAGGGAGCAAGAAAACATAAGACTTTAGAAGAGAATGTCAAAGTAAACTCAATAAAGACTCCTCTAAAATTAGACTAGGTTGTCTAAATGTTTGATGAGTATGTCTATAGGGCCGCGGGTTCCTCAGTTCATTGTTCGCCGTGCATGAGCACTTAGGCACACCATTTCTTGTGGCTCAACGGCGACACACGAGCTGATTGATAAGATCTAAGAACGTTTCAATAGTAATACATGCACTTGAAAATATATTGCTACTGGACTTTTGCCTGACAAGCCGTACTGCCATTCTTGCACTCCCATTCCGACTGCCATAATCTACCATGTCTACTCTCCCAAGCGACATAACTGACTGTCGTTCAAGATTAACTCAAAGAAGATGGCTATTAGGAACGGTTACTGTAAACCCAAGTGCTTATTACTTCCCTGCCCTATTGCTATCCTTTAGGATACTTAATTACTTAGCTAGCTTACCATTACCCTATTGCAGCCTGAACACTCTGGCAGTATAGCTGGCTTAATATAAGCTATTAATTGCTAAAAAGCTATTTATGTGAGCTGTATCTGACCCTGACGCGCTAAATCTGATGTCATGATCTAGTGAATCGCCAGTGTTACCAGCCTCATCCTTAACCATAAGGCTACCTTTCTTACAGAATAACAGCGAGGCTATCTTGAAGCAATAGGCAACCTTGTGCCCTGTGGCATAGGTAGTTGCCTTACTGTTGCCATGAATGGTATCAACCCATGTACTATGACGGTCGGCATCAGGTGCCCTGTCCCTGGTGTTCATATACCGATCATACCAGCTCATCAGTCCCTGCACCGTATCGTCAGCCTCATCCATCTCATCGGCACAGTATACTTTCTTCTCAGGCCCACGTGGCCTCCGTAGAAGCTCTACAATCGTGAAATACCTCTTAGGAAACCCTTTATTCCTAACGCAGATGATATGAAAGAGAATATTATGAGTTGTAGCCGGATCAAAATCGTCAGATATACTTTGCCCCAACGGATCATGAGTCATACCATCGTAATCGAGGGTGATAATGTCAGACGGCATGTATATGTTGGTTATGTCAAGATGCTCAGCGGTTGCATGGACACCTTTCCAGGCCAATCTGATCTGACCTTGTGTTATGGAATGTGCAGTAGTGCAGTATCGGGAATGCCTACTCGGGCAGGCGTTGGTTACCCGAGGCCAAGGCAGTGTTATCTCCATCTGCTGTCGCGGGTCAGTTGTTAGGATTGTGGTGCCGTCAGTAAGAACTTGGACTCGGCCCTCCGGCCCCTTAACAGGAACTGAAAGATCACTCGGATCCATAATCTGTGAAGCATACTGGTTGCCACCGGTGGAAAGGTGCTCAATAAAGACACGCTTTGTGCCCCTGTGCTTCTTGATCCTGCCAGCGTTTGTTCTTGCTAGTGACTTGGTGAAAGAGACTGGAATTGTATCACAGATGGAAAACCGGTACTTTTCAATAGAGCTAGGGCGCATATTGCAATGTGTGTTGTAGTGTACCTGACTTGAGAGGTGAAGTAAAGAAATTTCTCCATAGATATATACTTAGTTGATATCACAACCATTTGTTTGGATTGTCCTATACATAAGCTCTGTTCTAACTACAAAGCTGTGTATTCATCATCTCAGCCTTATTGTTCGGCTACTCTGTTTGTCTCATGCAGCCTCATGGTACTGCAGTCAATAAAAGAGCTAGGCTTAACAATACCATATTTACCACATCAAGCCAGGTGTTCAGCCTGACTCTTTGTTCTAAAGTCATTATTCAGCCCTAGTACCCATCACATCTTACATCGAGAGGTTTTCAGTAGCAAGGACGGTTCAGGGCAATGATCAAGTAAACTGAGCAGATAGATACCATGGCGGGATGAACACTCTGGCCAAATAACACCATGTTCATCATACCAATAGGGCTTTTCAAATCCATCCTCTATCCTGGATGTCTTTATTCGATGGCAAACTAACAGGACTGTGGAAAGCGCCTTATACTAAGAGAAACCAGATTGGATGTTGGAGGACATATCGAGAAATAGAGCAAGGCAACCGATCTCTGTGGGCTAGGTCATCTTTTGTTCATATCGTGTGCCCCAAAATTATGCTTCAACGTTCCTTGGTGACATTCATACTGGAAGAAACAGCCAGTTTCTACTTAGTCCAACTGATTCCTAACGAGACAGGGAAATTCAAGCATTTTATGCGCTATATAAAGTCCCTATTGATGTATAATCGTATGTGCTAAATCAATCCAACCGCTCAAGATCATCCGGTCAAACGTAAATACTACAGCAGCCATGGTCAAGTATACTCCCATTTCCTCGATTGTCTTTTGACGCTTCAAGGCTCACTAATCCTACAACGGACCAGGCTTATATGTCACGGAAAAGCTTCTAAGGGCATAGCTATTGGGCGTTAGGTCTCGAGTGACAAAAGACTTGGCCCTGATCAGGAGACTGATGTATCGTTGTTCATGACCGAGATGTAAGACAAGAGACTTGGCAGTCTGCTGATACTGACTGCCTTTTCATGTTTAGATACCCCAAAGATGGTAACTGGCTCAAAACTTGTCTTTCCTCGGAGTCTAATCAAAATCAGGTCAGACTTATGCTCATGGCAGAAACCTTTGGCTGTCATGTTGGAGTGAAGATAGCGGGAGAGCCGCACCTGGCGATATGTTTCTACCTGTAGGACAACACAATGTCACTTTCATATGACTAAGAATGAGCGTTGACGACCAACGCCGTGGCTATCTACTAAGCTGAAGTCCTGTTAAGACATCACCACGAAGTCATCAGCGCCCCCTCCGCCACATGGAGTAACTCACCACGGAAAAAACCACGCGAAGCATGATTTCAAATCACCGGAGTGTTCTCTTGCTCTAAACGCTTCCACGTTCGCCCAGGTTATCGGAACATGGACGCAAGCCCAGCGACGATCAAGATCTCGAAACACAATCGACGACTCAAGCAATCGCATGTAAAACAGCGAGCCCTGAGACTATAAGAAGTGGAAGGGCCACAGACGTCGTACCATGTTCCGGATACGTGCTGGGGTCGGGGTTGGCGACAGGAGACAACATTCCGAAGTCGCTGGGCAACTATTGTAGGCGTTCACTTACACAGATCACCAGTCTCTTGGCGTATGAGTATTTTAGTGGCTTGTAGTTAGGGTGCGCCACAAGAACGCCTTTGGATATGCCAAGTCTGTGTCTTAGATGTTGAAGATGCGGGAATAGTGTCAGATGAACCGCTTGTCAGGGAGGTGAGACATTCTACAACACAGCACAATTCAGTTCATGAACGCAGCTACACGGACTCTCTCATAAGAACTTATATATAGTGCTTCCTTTCTATTATATATGACATTCAGCATCTTAAACTACCCCGTCAAGTCCAATTCCACATCCGCTGCATCGAGTCTAGTCCAGGAACAACTGGAATTTTGCCACGGCCACCATCAAAGGCACGTAAATCTAGAGCAACAATAGCTCAAACTTACACGGCAATCCTCACCAACGATTTGACTTTTCCCGCAGTGATCGGCTCGACGGGTCACAGGGTATAAGATGACGAATCCCTCCCGTTTGCGGATGTCATTGTCTCAGTCTCTCTTTAACCACCACTCCACAAACTTGAAACTCCTGATCTTTTTAGATCAATTCCACTCTCTTTAAACCAAAAACTTTTGGTTCATCATTCAAAATGAAGGCTTACCTCGCGCTCTCTATCCTGGCCTGCGCCATCTCAACTTCAGCCAAGAACATCCACCGCAGGGCTGACGGTGGTGTCCTTCCAGCTGCTGGTATTCCCGTCAAGGCTGGGTATAACGCCTACGGAGGAAATTATGATCATCCTGAGACGAACAAGTATCAGCCTGTCGGGCAGAAGCAGGCTTCTACTGGTAGCTCAGGTACTACCAATACCGGAGGCAAGAAGGCGACGGCTCAGAGCAAAAAGTGCATTTCGAAGAGCAAGCTTGAGTCTATAGTCAACAAATACGTCTCGACTTTCTCTGGTATCACCGATGGTGGAGCGCTGGCCAGGACTATTTTTGATGAGGACGTCAAGTTTTACTCTCAGTCTATCTGGTGGACTTCATCATCCTCCAAGATCAACAAGTACGCCAAGGTAAACATATTCCCACTCTCTCACTTTACACCTATAGTCTAACAAGTTTCAGAACGATGACTTTCCTCCCATCTACAAGAATCGCAAGGAGCTCATCGAAGGCAACACTGAAAAGACCAATGACCCCAGCGCCTTCATCAAAGGACCCATCGCTTACGGCTGCAACTCTTTCACCTTCTACTGGAAGGGCGACTTCGAGGTCCCCAAGGGAACTCGTCGGGGTCGCGGCAACGGCATCGACATGGTGTTCTTGAACCCTGAGACTGGGAAGGTTAAGAAGGCGTACTCTGAGTACAACACTCTTAACCAGGTGTACAACTGGGGCGCTCATATTACTTGGTCTAATGACGATGTCTGCTGTGATTGCCCTGTGGTGTTTGACCCTAACTGCAAGTGCAAGAAATAAGCTTGTGGTGTCTGTAGGATAGCTGGTCTAGGATAGGGGATAAGGCGTTAGGTGCTTCATTCGGGTTTGGTCATGGGTGAACTTAGATAGGCGTCGATGCATATACAATCTTTATATATAAGCACATTACCATTCGAACTTATATTCAGTCCTGTCGTGTTAAATTTTACATATTTGTATGCTTAGGTCTAAAGACGACTTGAGAGCTTAGGCTCATCACCCAAGAAAACGTTGATCAGCTTGGAAAACTCATCCGCATACTGATACAAGAAGCCATGTCCCGAATCGGGGTACAAATGCAGCTGCGCTTGGGCATTCTTCAACTTCTTCCATATCACAATGCTGTTCTCCGTGGGCAATAGAAGATCTTCACTTCCTTCTCTTGTGTTAGCGCTTAGCAACTTCGGCGCTCGTGAGAGTAACTTACCATTTGCAATCAGCACAGGTATACGCAGCTCCTCCAATCGATCATAAGACGCATCCTTCGCCTGTTTCGGATCCATAAACTTCGCAAAAGCAATTCCCTGCAGACGAGCATTCGCAGGATCAACATGATCAGTTCTATCCTTTCGCGCACTAGTAATTCTCTTCCACGCAGCCTCACCCGCAGCCCGACTCTTATCAGAAGTGTTGAACATGCTCATAAGAAAAGCTTCCTTGTGCTCTTCCTCCGTCTTGGCAGCACTGAGAGCATTGAAGGCCTTGAGAGAAGGCGCCGGTACTACACCTTCACCTGTGCTAGGCATCGTTCCACAGAGGATAAGCCGGCGAACGAGATCCTTTCCGTTGAGGGCGACGAGCTGAGCAACACAGCCACCCATGGAGAAGCCCATCACGTCAGTCTTGTTCACGCCAAGTGCGCGGAGGACGTTGATGTAGTATTGTGCCCATTGCTTGTATTGCTTGGGGACTTGGCCCTCTGAGCGCCCTACGCCTGCGTTGTCAATGGTGATGATGGGGCGTTTTGCCGCGATGGGGTTTATAAGAGCTGGGTCCCAATGATCCATAGTTCCTCTGATATTGTGAGTCTAGGCCTGGAAAATGGAATTGAAGGGATGCTCACCTGTAGTGCATGCACAATGTGAGGGGTACGCCGTGTTTCGCGCCGAAGCGCCTGTAGGCGAACTTGATGCCATCTACAGTGATGAACTGATCTTGAGCTGTTTCATACGTCGACATTTTGTGAATAATATGAGTCTAAGGTTCCAATTTCTGAGGGTCAGCAATTTGGAAGCTGCTGTATAAGTTCAGTACAGATGCCGAGGTCCATCGGCTTTGACGTCAGGTGATCCATGGTCCGGGGAACCTGGTCAATGTTTTGAATACTTTCCTCATTGGGAAGTTTCACCAAGTCTCAGTGGACAGGAAGAATAGAGTTGACTTCATGATGCTCTTGGGCGGATCTTAATATAACTTACACAGGTAGCATAGACGATTGTATTGACCCAATATTAAATAAACAGAGTTTTTTACAACTTGTGAATGAAATGTGAATGACGCTTGTTGCACAGCACTTCGCAGACTTATCCAGCACTTCCGTATCTTTGTTGCTACTCGCTTGATTGCAGAAAGCTTGCCTTTGGAGGAGTTTAACTAGACTCGATCTCACTAGAAGTGAGATCCGCGAATGCCTCGAATGCGAGGGTGTCGCTCGAGGCGTTCCTTGACGGTACCCATGCTTCTACCAGTACTACAAGAACAAAGAAAACACTGTAGGGTATGTCGACGAGTTTGCAACGGAAAGATTTACCGCTCTTGCCAACGTCAGGTCAGTGGTATAAATCTACGAAGTCGTGTTGGAAAAACGGTGCAACGCAGAATTCATTTGAGTGCCTCCTCCACTTCAAGCTGTCCCGCCGCTTTCAAGGTTGGAGTCGCCAAGCGAAGCTCGCCCAGACACAAAGTTCTTGTATACAGGACTGAGAGCCACTGAGTGCATGTCGCTCCCGTAGTAGAAGAGAACTCTGCCGTTTTGGTGGAAACTGCCATCAGCCTGTTCAAAGAACCAGGTCAAGTTCTCATCTCTCTCGCTAACAGCCCAAGCTAGAGTAGGGTAGTCCTTCTTGATACCAGTAAAGATATTCTCCATAGTACCGTTGAGCCAGCCAGACTTGCTAGTAGACAGACTCGTCAGTATCGCCGTACCTTGGTCCTGAGGCATGACGATAGCCATGCAATGCATGTCATCATCATAGTAGGCAGTAAAGTTCATCTCTGTTAGTATGCTGGCGGATCGATCCACGATAGCCGCAATATCAAGACTGTCGGAGCTGCTGTTTAACGTAGCCTCGAGGTTCCTGATATCTTGAAGTTCCTTGATCGAGGAAGTCTTTCGAATGCGATTGCCCAAGCGGATGAGGGTGCCAGCGCCAGAATCAGTAAATAGTTCCTTCTGAAGGTTACCAGGGTGGATGATAGCCACGCTAGAGCTTCGGGGAAGACCCTTGAGAAGAGCCTGCATCTCCCGAATTTTAAGACGCGTGCCATAACGACACCAGGGCTGAGCCATGAGGTATTCAAACTCATCATCCAGGTTGATCTGCGAGATCATCTTCCCCTCGCCATTGACAAGGCCTCCTTTTTCTGAGAGGTAGATAACCTTTAAGGGCTTAAGCGTACGAGCAAGTTCAGCAGCCGCAACGTCCGCATTGACATTTAAGAGGTGACCATCATCCCCTTCAGCCATCGAAGTCAGGATCGGTATATATCCTGCTGATATACTGCTCTCGATAGCTTCCTTCCGAACCTCAGTGATCTTACCCACATACTGCCACTTCTCCTTGTCAAGGTAAGTTGCTCCAAAGGCTCCCTGTATAGATCGCGTTGCGACACCAAATGCGTCTAAGCGTTTGATGAGTCGCAAGTTTTCTTCTAGAAAAAGCTTACGCGCAATAGTAAGGGTTTTGGCATCAGTCACTCTGATTCCATCTTCAAATTGAGGAACCACCCCCTCAGCTTCCAAGAGGGAATTCAGCTGCGGACCGCCGCCGTGGACAATGACTGGGTATAGCCCAAGCTCATAGAGTAGTAGTATACTCCCACAGAACTCGTCTAGGTGTTCCTGAAGAATGGCGCCCCCGACCTTGATGACTGCAAAATGCTGGGAGGCAAGCGTGAAAACCTTGAGGTACGCTGCTGTCTCGCGCTTGCTGCCAATGCTGCTGATAGTCTGGGCCACAATCTCACGGGCCCGATCTCTGTTGAGCGAGGAAGCGGCGGCGAGGGCATGAGTTGTTGAGAGGGCGCGGTTGAGGCATCGGAATGAGGTCAGGGCGGGCGCGGACACACGAGTGAGAGTTCGGGACGTAGCCAGGCGGACGCTGGTCCTAAGGACAACAGAAGCAGCTGGCATCTCGAAATTGTCTCCTGTCCGCAGCAGAGCGATGCAGAAGTTATTGTGGTTGTAGTTGACTCATGAGGCAGAGGTATAAGCTTCATCGTATTAATGCTCTGCCCCTCCCGTCTTCGGAGGGCCAAGTAACACCAGCATGTGTCATAGCATGATGAACCGGTTAGGTTCGCAGCTCAGGTACAGAGTCACAGTAGTTTTAATCCATATGAGTCATTGGATGCTATTCCCAAACAAACGCCACTAGGTGCCAATTATTCATATACTCCATCAACCACGCCCTCAGTATAACCCCCTCTCACTACAGCAGGCTAAGCCTGTTTAGGAAATAGTGTCTTCCGTAGTATAGTGGTCAGTATGCAAGCTTGTCACGCTTGAGACCCGGGTTCAATTCCCGGCGGGAGAGATCCAGCCACCTGCGATACGCAGGTTTCATTTTTTTGCATTTCATCATCTTCTCAACATACTATTATTCGTTACCATTGTCTTATTGCCATCAAGTTACCTTACTATGAATACACTCCGTGATGATACTAGAAGTAAAAGATAAGCCACCACTAAATGCCGGGTATCGACGAGTAGTATAAATAAGTGAAATCATCACCCTCCTCAACACATACAGATACTATGACACTTGGGTTGCTTGGGCGCCCCAATCCAACTGCGACAATACTATGGTCCGCCAAGCAACAATGCACCACCACCCCGTACCCTTTGAGAAAAAAATAAAAAAGAAGTTCCTCCATATCATGACATACATACATGTAAAGCATCTATCTCCATTATCGTGCAAACACCTTGACCACGCCGTCGCCGCCAGCGCTTACTACCCATTTACCATCTTGACTCCATACGCAGGCACAGATGCCCTCGCCGCGCATCACGCGGTGACTTGTCACTTCTTGCGTGCAGGTTCGCTTCTCGAGACTCCAGAAACGGAGGGAGGCGTCGTGACCCGCGCTGACGAGTTCACGACCATCAGGGCTGAGGGAAAGACTGGAAATGGCGTCGGGGTGGGCAATCATGTTATATGTACATTGGCCTGGAGAACAATTAGTCTTTGTAGGTATTCGTGATACATGCAACTTACCGCTGTTGGCATCGAAGAACCGGATGAAGCGGTCTTCGTGGCCAGAAATGATAGTTCCCTCGACACCTGAACCAGCCATGGATCGTCCACCTCCAGTAGCACCTGGCCTGGCATCTTCTTCCCCTATGCTACCGCTGTGGTTCTGGTTAGCCTGATCGAGACCGATTGTCGTAGCCACAACGGCATTAACGCTGGTCTTGTTTGACTGATCATATGTTTCAAGGCTGTCCATGTTGCCGATCTGTTCACCGGTTCGGGTGTCATAAACGATAATGGCGGCATCTGAGTACGAGACAACGAACGACTCTCCAGTGGTACCCAGAGGTGTGATGCACGTCGGACTGGCGGTGGACCCGTCAGACCTCGAGATGTTGTGTACAAGTGTATGGTTGAAGGGCGAGTTAGAGGCGATGGTAGGTTGGGGAGTATTGGAGAATCCACTGCCGGAGCTCATCGAGTTACCACGGACTCTGCCTCCGCGGCCGGTCATGGCTCGGTTTGTTCCAGGTTGTGGTGAGCTCAGCTGAGGAGGTGCGCTCACTGACCACAAACGAACACTGCCGTCTGCAGCACCCGAAACAACCAAGATACGATCCGTGCTACCGTAGGGACTTGAGCTTCCGAATATTTGACCAAGAGTTGCTGGCAGAACACATATAGCCCATACTGCATCGGTATGTCCTTCAAGAGTCGCCTTGGGGTCGACTCTTCCACGCTCCCAAACTCGAATGGTCGCATCTTGGCCGCCGGAGAATATCCAGCCGTCGCCTTGTGCGCGACCTCCAGTTGAGAAATTCGGCGAGGGTGACCACGATGTCAAACACAGGATTGCTCCTGAGTGACCACGGTGTGTAAAGCTGGCTGTAACATCAAGGTCTGACGCTGTGTGCGCAAGACCGCCAGGGTGACCATCTAATCGAGGAATGTGGAAGCGCTTGATCATACCGTCGTCTCCTCCAGTACAAATTTCTGGCTCGCCGGGACTACCGCCTCCAGAGAATATGATTGTGCGAACAGTGTCGAGATGGCCTCGGAGTCCAAATCTGAGCTTGAAATTACCACTCTCAGCTTTTTGGGCAGCCAAGGCTAGCTCATGATCGGCACTTCGTCTTCTAGACATGGAGCCTTTTCGTCGGTGGGAGCTATCTCGTCGGCTCGGCGACTTGGGGAGGTTGTCAGCGGTAGGGAAAGCATCGGTGTCAGGGCGATTAGGTTGAGAATTGGGCTGCGAGTTTCCAGGTTCAGGGAATGTGCCCTCGGGGAACTCCCATCCATCATTCTCAGGTTGTGCAGAGTGTTTCTCTCTAAGTTCAGCAGAATCATCCATTCCACCCAAGACTTCTGCCGCATGGTTTGCCTGTGGCATGTGATCTTCAACCGGTCGGGACGTTACTGACACGGGCGCGGGCCAGTCATTAGAGTTCTGATACATAACGGGTGGATGCTCGGACCGCACCATTGGCTGAGGCTGGTGTTCTTGCTTCTGACCAAAGTGTTGCTGCTGGTTTTGGCCATGAGGCGCATGATTCTGCTGAGATATCCTCGAGTTCATTTCTTGAGAGTGATTCTGAGCATTTCGTGTAGGTAGCTGGAATTGCTGCTGGGGAGCTGGCATGCCAAACGCTTCGACTTCTCGCAAATCTTCCATGATCGGTAGCGGGGGAGATTCTCGAGGTGGCTGCGGGTTCGCGGGGGTAATCATAAGGTACATAAATTCGGATTGACACTGATCAAGAAAGGTCTTAAGATCTTGTCGTTGAGCTTCTTCATCACCTCGGTCGAGCTTCTCATAGTTAACGCCATCGACACCGGGAACGGGCATATCCTCCAAGGTAGCTGTAACAATATTAGCATGGAAAATCGACACAAAGGGGCATTGCTCACATCTAAGCTTCTCTTGTATCTTAGCAGCCCGGTCATTCTTAGCCGCCGTCTCTGCATCAACTGCCTCCTGACCCTGAAGCTGAGCCGTCTGCTCCTTAACCTTTCGCTCCAGCATAGTTACGTATTTCCTCAGCACGCGCTGAGTAGCATCGGCCCTCCGCGCCTGACCCTCGAGGTTGGCGATGCGGCCCTTCATCTCCTGCTTCTCAATCTCCCACGAGTTCCTATCGCGCTCGTGTCTGTGCCATTCGGTCTGCAGGAATCGCATGACGCCCTGGAGGGTGTACTCGGTGGCCTGGGGGATGTTGGAGCCATTGCCCTGCATCATAGGTCCCATCTCCAGGCCGCCCACGCCGTTGCCAGCATTAGGGCCCATCGCGGCGCGCCTCTCTCAATTGGGCGGGTGCATGGAGCTTCGAGTCGGTTTGGGAGAGATGGCGATGGAGGCGAGCGAGTGCCGGATTCGAGGTCGGACAAGCTCGTTGCGGTTGTTGGAGTGTGATGTGATCAGATGTGACGAGGCCAGATGTTGGAACTTGGAAGCTCCTGCGCGAAAGATACAACGAGCCTTGGCACGTGTTGTCGCCTCGGTGAAGAATCGGTCCTGAACTATCTGAATCGACGTCGAATCGTGATATCGTGGCTTGCTTTCTGTCGATAGAAAGCCAAAAAATTGAGTGTCGGGTCGTGTGCTGCTAAGAAACCAAGCTTGCCAGTCTTGGTCGGGTACTTTGAGGTCGGGTGCATCTGTCTGTTGTGCTGTCCTGTGTGGTGCCCTGTATCTCCACGCTACTAGTTGGTGCTATCCGCTGTATCGACGCTTTGCCGCTGAGATTTTGGCCAATCAGCGCTGAACAAGCTTGACTTGGAAATGGATGTGAGGCTGTCAGGCATCAACTTGGAACCCCTGGCTAACGGTGCGGATCACCGATACAGGGATCGATAATCAACAGGGAAGAATTTCAGCTCCGAACAAAGCAAATTTGATGACAAACAACGTCTTTGTTTGTGTCTTGTTTTAGTGCTAGTTGTTTGAAAGTCAAACATGGAGGAAGTCCTTAATTGAATCCAAGACCGTGGAACATTGCAGCTCAATGTGAATCGGTTACCCAACACCAGTTGACTCCTGAATCAGGCTCTACTTTGATATGCCAATCACAGGAAAGATAACTTGATTCTATGCCCGATACAGTGCTTTAAATCTCTGAACTCCAAACTCCAAACCCAGGCCTCAAATCGTAATGTGACGGCATCAAAATTCTAGCTCCTCAACTTCCATGCCACAATCAACACATGTCTTGATCGTCATCCCATCCTCATTCTCAACCGTTCTTCCCCATTCATGAACATGCCGCCCACCTCCTATTGCATCTCCAAATTTGCTTGCACCAGACTTGCTCAAATTGCCAGCCTGTCTGCGGAAAGCGTCCGTTCTTGTCTTTTTCTTTAAATCAAGTAACTTCTCTTTGAACTTGGCTTCCTTGCGAGCTTTCTTTTGTGTCTCTCGTCGCTCATACTCTGCATCTAAGGCTTCTGATGACCCCCACTTCGTCTTGATCGCATATTCTTCTACTTGACATCGAAGGAAGAGCATCATGTCGTGCCAATGTGATTTGTGAGGGTTTGGTTTTGAGAGATGCGGTAATAACTCTGGATCTCGTAGCTCGGCTATTTGATGTTAGCGATGGCAGTCACAAAAATTGACCGGAACAACTCACGGTCTGTCAGCAGATAATCCTCCTTGCACTCAGTCTTGGTTAACAACGAGTACTTTTCTGGATATTTCTCCTTGCACTTGTTGCAAACACAGATATGGAAGACTTCTTCCCAGACGAAGTCAATCTCCAAGCTCTTGCAATCCTGACACTTCTTTCGTGTCTCGTCGTCCGCAAGCACACTCAACCCGGGCTCAAAAGGGCCTGACTTTAACCTCTTCAAGTTCCGTATCAACTGTAATCTCTCCCACTCCTGAATGCTCATGTGCTTCGGTCGCTGGTCATCCTCGGACTGTCCAGGCTTCTTGCCACCCAGAGCATAGTTATGCGGATCATCTTCCGTCGACAAGAAACCACCCTTCGTATCTGTCATGGTGCTCATGTTGTAATCCACGAACTTTGTGAACTTGCGCGCCGGCCGCAACGCCTCCTCGTCGCCTTTGTTACGACCATCTCGATTTGTTCCATTAGAAGCATCTGCTGTAGAGATGGAGCTGTACGGTCGCTTTCCGTCGGCAGTTTTAGAGATGTAAACGTCTTTTGTTGGCACAAAGCCTCCAGAGCTCTTGGGGATTTCGGGTGCGGTGCCGGTCGCTCGTTGTTCAGCTTCACGCTGGTCTCGGATTGCCTTCGCGCGGAGTCGGTTCTCTTCCTAGGTACAGGTCAGAATCTCGAGAAAATAGCATACTTACTCCGAGACTATACATACAATGCGCTTCGTTACTTCTGGGGTCGGCGGAGTGATTGTGGATGCAGGCTTTGTTGCCCGAGGTGGTGTAGACGGCCGTTCCATGATGAGCAATCAGACCGGAGATGGGATACCAAACGAACAATGCGGAGACGGAGACAGAGACAGCTAGCTTCGTCGCAGAATCACAATACAAGTAAAAAGAGAGAATTTTGGAGAGAAAAAAGCGAATGGAGACGTCAAAGAGAAGTTCGACTCAGGGTCCTCGATGACGGCGATGGGTGGCGGAGGGGCGGATTGTCGCGATCAGAAATCTGAATTATGTCACCAATTTACACGAGAAAACGTGACTACAGCCTACGCAAACTTTCGACAGTCACCAAAATGTGCATGGCTTTTGAGGTTATAATCCTCAAGTTCTCGTAATGATCTTCTTGCTTTTCTACATTAGATATCATTTCAAGAAATTGTTCAGCATATCCCAATTCCTTGATTTTGGCTTTCGCCATAAGCAAACACTTTTGCGAGCCATGACACCTGTATTATAGTACAGCCAAGGTCTATTACAACCCTAGCCTACGGTCCACGCTATCCTCTAAAGCCCGAAATTCGTTTCAGAAGTTCTAGCTTACTCCTCCTTGGCACCACCACGGCCAGCGCGCTCAGCAGCCTCAACGGCCTTCTTGTCGCTCTGGGCGGGGCCACCCTGCATGGCGCTCATGAAACCCTGGGGCTGCTTGAAGGGACGCTTGAGGTCACCGGCGGCAGGCTGGCCAAGGACGTGGATCTTGACTATGTTGTTCTCGAAGGCGCTCTTGAGAGGGATGATGCTCTGGATGAGGAGAGGGTTGGTGTACTTCATGTAGATGTGCATGAAGGCCATCATGGCAACACCCATAGCCTGGCCACGGAAAGCGGTGCGGATCTGCTGGCTGTCGTAGGCGTGGACGGTGGTGGTGACAAGCTTGCCCTCCTCAGTGGAGCCCATGGGGGCGGGCTCGACATACTTGAGGGTTGTGAGGTCTGTGAAAGCATATGTCAGTATTGCGGTGGTGGAAATTGCCTCAGAAGTCAAGTTATCGTACCCTTCTTCTTGTTGATCTTCAGCTGGGTGTAGAAGTAGAGAGCAGCAATGATGACGTTGCTGGCGAGGTACACAGCGCGGACGACGTTGAGTACGAAAGGGTCGTCGAAGGGAACACGCTTCGACACCTGCATCATACCCAAGATGATGATCAGGTTGGTGCTATCGCGAATGTCAGCGTTTTCTTCTTTGCGCCCCCAGATAGATAATCTGCGCGACGGCTGTCGCGTGGAGAACGACTTACATCTGGGGAGAGAGAGCCATCTTGATTAATGAGCTGAAGAGACCAGTAAGGATTGGAGAGAAGAAGCAAGGAAAGAGAAAATGGCAATGCCAAAAGGATTTGGGGGCTGATGGGAATAGAGTATGAAGATGGATGCAAAGATTAGAGTGCGGGATGAAATGGAATGGACATGTCTTTGCTGGCCTTTTGGAGAGTGGCCTCCACCTGTGGCTTTTGCCGCACCCTTAGCCCCCTTTGGCCACTGTGGGGAAGCTGCCCGCAAACAGGATGAGACAACGCCATTGGCTTATCTCGAATTTTAGGGGACTTTATCTCAGGTCGTGCCCCTAATTTCATATGTCGGCCTCCGTTGCATCCCCGAGCCTCATCGCGCCATTCATTCTCCCAACTTCCCATTGCTTCCATTTAGGATTTGGCTTAATCAACCAAAAAATCGACCTGCCATCTTGGGACCCGCGTGAATGTGAAAGACCCCGTTTCTATTTTCTCTCAAAAGGCCCAGTTGCCCGGGCCCGAACAGTCTCAGCACAAATGACCTTGCGGAAGCCGGGAAGCTGTGTAACTGAACCCTTTGACTTGTTTCTTTGATGAAAGCGGAACGACTTGACGAGTCCTGCAGAACAGCCATGGACGTATCTTTGAACATTGTTCGAGTGGACATTATGTTAAAAGATGGAATTGATGAACAAAGAGTACTCAATGTTCTCAATGCGAATTGAACAAAGGAGAGTAGATGTTCTCGATTATTGTTCAGTCAAATCTATGTTCACCTCCAAGGTTAGGCCTATGGGCCGACCTTCGAGGTCGTCATGATGGACTCGTCAATGGACACCGTATTTCTTTAAATACCAAAAGGACTCACAAACCTCATTTGGGCTCACAGACTCAGTTTCCACGCAAATCACAGAGCCAATTTACTCAAACCAAACCGTGACTTAAACCAGGTCTGTATACCGAATCAAAGCCCATCATGTCGTACTCATCACAACGTTACGATCTTGACGCTGCGGCAGCTAGGAGGCGAAATTCCCTCTATTCAAACCAGAGCGCTTACAGTGACTATGATCGCCGCCGCCGCCGCCGCAGCAGCAGCAGCAGCAGCTCCTCAAGTAGTCGTGATTCTCACTCGTACTCACGTAGGTCTGGCGAATCCGACGTGCCTTACCATATGAGATGGGAACAGCAACAACAACATCATCATCGTCATCATCATTCCAGACGGGAAGGGTACCTGCGCCCGAGACGGGGCTCAGCTTCTTCCTCAGAATTAGACGACGATTATTCTCATCTGAACAGAGAGCGCCGTGCGAGCAATGACCGACGACGCTCTCGCTCTGACAGAGGGCGGGATCGTTCGCCGCAGGAGGAGATCAACACAATGCTCAACAGTGGTCGGGCACCAATTATCAGACGAGGGTCAACCTATGGTACCTACATCATGCCCCTCGACATGGATGGACACTATCAAACTTCGGACCCCACGAGATGTACTTGCAGATGTTGCCCCCATCCGACAGGTATCTCCCATAGCCACGATAACTACGGGCATATGTCCGGGGACGTGCATACTACCAGTCAACGCCGTTCGCATCCGCCCCACAGATATAACCGCAATGGCAGGCCTGTCTTTGAGGTATATGACAACACAAGGAATGGGATGCGAAGCGAAAACAGTTTTCCGTTTACCATTTCAGTCAACCCCCGAGCGTCATGTGACCGCATCGTGGCCTTCTTGGCACCCGACAGGCGGTACGCCAAGGTTCTAGTGCACTGGAACAACGGGACGGTGCAGAGGCTCGACGGCAGCGTCCCGATGGTTGATCTTCTAGAATACGCAGAATATCTCGAGATCAGGGAGGTGAAGCAGGTGCGCTGGGCGGCTTGACTACCGGCGTATCATGATGTCAAGAAAGATGTAGATCGGGTGAAGTGGGCAACCTCACAATTGGCGCGGGCGCCAGATGTCAAGATTGAGGGTGATAGACGAGAGATTTTGTGGAGATTGATGGTTGAAGGATGAGCAAGCAGTAAGACACGGATGAATATGACGATATCAATGAGTGTAAGATTAAGGTAGTTTTGGATAGAAAAACACAAATATACGAGGAAATATACTCTGAGGCCTGCATCGTCAAGTCCCATGATACTAGCGTGATGAGGGGACTCCAAGAATGACAGCCTCAGCCTCCACAGTCTGCCTAAATTCGAACCATCACGCGTAAAACCCACCAGTCATGTAACATGCCGTGCCGTACAAGGCTGATACTGGAGTAACATATCAATCTTGAATATTATCACTCACAACTGCTGTTCTGTTCAGTACGTAGCTCTGCCACCCCCATCACCGTTTGATATCGACTCACCGTGCCCTCCCTGAAAACCCTCATGCAACCACTTTAAACCGTATTTTGTTGTAATTTCATCGTTCATGTCTAAATAACCTTGTGATCCACCTGATTCAAATACTCCGGCCAGAGGGGCAGTGAGTCAAGCCTCGGTGTCTTTATGGCACGATAATACCATATCGTAGTCTCGATTGGGGTTAATGTTATGACGTTCAAGGGTTCGCTTGTCGGTTCGCTACCGACTGTGGAGGCTTTTGCCTAAAATTGCGGCGTTGCCTTGACCCTTTTTTCCCCACGGCCGGGACTAGCAACCAACAACCAACCTACAACCAACAGAACGGGCAATTGCTGTTTTACATCATATTCTGTAGATCAAAGGATGCAAGGCACCCGGCAGACAGCAGAAGGTGATTCTTACTGGCATTGGATTGTGGGAAAAAGACGATACATAGCCTTGAACGTGGCAATCGATAAGCGCCCAATGAAAGAGGAATTGGGGGCCCTGCATGCAGTGCTACACTATTCATACTATCAATATATACAGACTTGACTCTAGAACTCTTGTTTCCAGGGCAGACGCAGACACAGCCACACAGAGTTTGAGCATCGTCGCACACTTGTTTCTCTTATTCGACGGATAATGGCTCGTAGGAATTCCTCCAGCCTTCTTAGCCTCCTCCTCCAGGCACAGGTGGAGTTGGACCACTCATATCGCAGGGATCTCACCAGTTTTCCACCTGAACTTGGACCAAGGGGTCACTTAGAACTAACACTATCTGCATTACATAACCTTGCACGAGGAATAAAGAACGCTACAGAAACTAAAACAACTCACTGAAAGAAGGCAGCCTAGATTCTAAAATAGAGAAACAACGTAATCAACTCACTCAAAAGAATACGTCACCCTATGCTCAAAAAGACTCGCTCCTGAAGGAGCCGGCATGACTAGTGCGGTGTGTGTGTGTGTGTGTGGTCGTGCAAGGGACACCACTTAGACGGAGACCCGGAGCATCATATAGATCGGAGACAGGGGTGCGACTCGACCAACTGCCCTTTACCTAAACCAAACCGACCCAAAAGGTATCACATCCCATGGACGGGAGCCTGGCGGTGCGGCTCGGCACGATACACTCATGCCCACTGTGGAAAATGGGGTCCGTGATAATGGGTTCGCTCACTACAACATTCTGTTGGCTTGGGATTGGATCATTGTCCTGTTGTTGCCTATAAGACCTCTACCTTGTCCTCGGACGCTCTTATACCAGACAGATGCCTCGGGGTTTAAAAACGCCACGAGATGCTTTCCGTTCAGGCAGAAAATAAAGATCAAGACACACAAGTTCCATCCAAGCATATCTACACTTGAGCCGATATACAGAATTCAGTTGCCTATTACCACCTCTCTCATCCCCCATTCTCTTCTCGCCAATCGTTCTATGGGCCACCTAGGACTCCCTCACTTATACCAGTCCGTTATCAGAAACCGCAATAGCCATGTTTGGTACTTGGAAGTACGATCCTGAGACGGATGAGGTCCAGAGCGTTCGCAATGGCTTCGACCCTGTCACGGCCCGCTCAAGTTCCCACCAGGCTTGCGATCGCTGTCATGAGAAGAAGGTACGTCTGCAGGAGCATTGACTAGGCTACCCAACGCCAAGATCTTTCCCTCGCCCTTTTCGCTTAGAGCTTAGTTTGCTGACGATGTTCCTGTATAGCTCAAGTGCAGTGGAGACAAGAATGGCTGCGAACGATGTCGGAGCAACGGTCTTCGCTGCGAGTACACACGCTCGGGCTCCAAGTCTTCCAAGAAGAAGAGCAGTCCTCGCAAGTCCAACGACGGCGACAGTCCGTCGAGCTCCAGCTCCCGACGAGGGGGCAGCTCTTCCAAGCGGTCTAGCAAGCATCACGGACACTCGTCTCGCATAGTCACATCAGGAGACGAAGCAGGGGGTGTTCTGAGCCAGTTCGACTTCTCACAGCTCAGCCCTGAAGACGGCTTCGATCTCAACTTGCTCTCGAGCGCTGACCAGAGCGCTGGAGGCTATGCCACGGCTGGACCCTCGGGAGACCAGTACAACATGCAAGGCTATGACACAAACTACCAGCAGTGGGATGCGTCAGGGTACTCGCAGGGCTACTCGAATGAAGCCTGGGGCGGCGAGTATGACCAGAGTGCTTACTCCCATGATCCGCGATACTATCACAGCGGACGCTAGTCCTAGGGCAAGGCTGACTCGGGAATATCTTAACGACATCATGACGGAAAGTGTATGATTAAACCTTTTTTTCCTTTTCACTTCTCTTTATACCCCGTTTTAATCCTGTTCCTTTTCTTTTCCTTCCTTTCTTTTGTTAGAAGGCATTGTTTTAGCAACCCAATTTTCATGTTTATTACACTTACATAGAACACAACGCTTGGACGGACCGTCATTCCTTCTGATGGCAAGGCGCACACAAGCTATGAATATCGAATGTTTTCTGATCTCTGATATGACCTACCTGTTTCGGGTGATTATTACTGTGGCGGAGCGCAAGAGCTAGAGCCCAAACCGACACGTCTCTGCCCCAGAAGCTAAAGGGAATAAGAATAATAATAGAAATCGCGAACCGGAATTAAACGTTTATGCACGGGGGAGAAGATGACTTGTCCGTTGCATTGCATGCTGACTCTCCCTCGTGTTGCTCGTGTTATTGAAGGAGACATGTGACCTTGTGAGGTGTAGGTTGAAAGTTGGAGTTGAGATGTCTTAGTCATCATACACGACGTCACAAACCTGGAAGTGACCAGGGTAGCAAAAGAGCTCCCAAAGCTTTTTGCATCACGACTCTAACTAAGCTCAATCGCTAAGCGCCAATTGCAACAGTTGCATTTCTCACTTACATATAATTCGCAAAAATGGCGAATGAAGATCCAGTGACGGCGGTTAAATCAAAGTCTGTTTTTGACTATCTCAACGATTGGGGCAGTAAGTCACTCACTCACTCATTCACTCACCCTTACCATTTCACACTTTCTTCCCACTATCAGTGCAAATAACCCTTGTGATCCAAGAAAAAAACAAGTTATAAAACTGACAGAGGAAAAAAACCAGCTGCATCTCTCCCTCCATCTCTCCTAGCAACCCTCATCACCGCTCTTCACGCCCGGCCCCCATCCCTGCCCCTCTTCATCTTCACACCTCCGCTGCTCTTCTCGTCCTACCTCAACCTGTCCGGCTATCCCACCGGCAGCGCTGGTCTAACCGCTGCCTGGTCCGGTCTCTACGTGCTGTTGGCTCTGCGGCGACGTCAGCCTTTCCGTGGACGCTTCTCGGTCCGAGGGGTCGTGCGTGGCACGGCTATTGGGTTGGGGGCCGCGAACTGCGTTGCTGGCGGTTGGGTCTACGCCAATGGTGATTTTGAGAAGGATGAGAAGGCCAGAGTGGACAGAAACCGATGGGGGAACTAAAGGATTTGAGTTTGTGTTGGCTGTATGATAGGTGTTGTACGATATGTTTTGTTGTATGTCAGCGCGGATTGAGATTATAGGAGCCGTTGGTCCGGCAGTTGGGTGTGTTGGTTATGAATCAAGATACATATGCGTCACGAAAATGAACATTTGTCTATCAATTTCACATGGATAACAAACTAGCGCCAACAAACCTCACAATACTGTAACCCTTCGTCGTGACTCACAAGTCATCTCCCATATATCTGAGACAAAGCAAATTTCTACGTAACTATCTTCTCATAGTAGAAACTACCGGTCATGAAGTTGGAATCCTTCAAGACAGGGTCAGATCATAAAGCATACACGATGTCGGCCGGCAGGGGAACGAGCGGGAACGAGCTTACCACCAACAATTGGTCGCAATACGAGACGCGAGGCAGATTTACAAAAACCGAAGCGACCCTGACATACATGATAAGCCCATCACCGAGAACATGCAAAATGCTCCTTTTATAAGCTAGAGTGGTAATTGACTCTATTCCCATGTTGCTGCTGTGGCTGACATGTTGCAGCGACATCCAAATATAGCATCACCAGCCTCAATCCTACCCAGTGTGTTAGTCATGCTGTCCATAGGATCAAATGAGTCAGAACGATATATATTGAAGGGGCTGCGATGCTTTGCTATCGTCTTTAGGACTTGAGAAAGATAATTTAGGCTTCCTCTGTCGACACGATGAGTGATATCTCATAGCTTAGCCCAAGGCATAATCTCAAGCTTAGCTCTAATCACGGGCGCATTGTCAGCATCACAGGTACTGGAACTCATAATGGTAGCACTTTTTTCTTCTGCTATTTTACCCAACGCCCTGCTATCCAGGTATCATCAGTAGGTATCTATTAATACAGTTCAAACCCTGTATCTCCAATGCGCCTTTTGCTTCTCCTATCGCATCAACAGGCAAACTCATCGTGCCTCTGTCGAAAAAAAGGGAAATCTCCAGCCCAAAGTCTAGCATTCAGTGCCTGCCCTCATCTCTTTAGAATAAAACGCCAGTCCGGAAGACATTCTCAGCCCTTGATTCGTCTCCCAAAACCCATACGGCCCTT